CCATGGATACCAGAGACAATGTGGGAGGAGGGTGGGACATGGCAGAGGGTGAGGGATGGGAATCAAGGATGGCAAAACGAAAAACAAAGTATACAAGACATAAGAATTGGAAAATTATTTGCTGATAACATGTATGTTGATGTGCTTGATTGAGCCAATACACAGTGTATTTTGAATCGAAAATTCATCTGTATGTTGTAATGATGTATAGTGAATTAATGTAAAAAATAAATTTAAAGAGAAAAAAAAGAAATATAATAAAGATAAAATCAAGCACACTGAATTTGTTCCAAATGTACCTAGACAACTTTATAATAAACTCTTTTTTTTTTTTTTGGAGAGGTTTTTCGCTATAGGGCGCGTGCGCTCGCCAGACAGACAGAGAGAGACATAGAGACAGAAGGCGAGAAATCACCCCCCAGGGGGATGGTCACGTCACAATCCCTTCTCCTCCATTCTCCTCTCGGGATCTTGGGCACGCACGCACACGCGCCCAGCGTGAGTTTTAAGCCACCAGGTCTGGGACATGAACTGCGGTCGACCACGTGGGAGTCCAGCGACATAGCCATTACACTAACTGCTGGTTCCCAAACTCTTATTGATATGTAAAATTCATACAGAAAAGAACACAAATGTTAAATGAATAGTTTGATGAATTTTTAAAAAGTGAACACACCTCTGCAACCACCATGCAGATTAAGATGCAGAAGAACGTTGGGACCAGCAGATGGCATAATGGTTATGTCACGGGATTCCCACGTAGTTCACTGTGGTTTGAGTCCCAGGCCTGGCAGTTTTCACGGACACTGGGCACATGTGAGTGCCCAAAATCCCAAAAAGGGGAATGAAAGATAAGGGACTGCAGTGTGGTCAATCCCCCCCCCAGGGGGTGATTTCTCACTTTGTTTCTCTATGAAAGTGTTTCAAGTGAAAGAATGTAAAAAAAAAAAAAAATTAAAAAAAAAAAAAAAAAAAAAAAAAGATGCAGAATGTTACCAGTACACCCAGGGCCATCTTCTTACTTCTCCCTGTCATTACCCTCCCACAGAGGAAATCACTGTGCTGGTTTTCACCACTGCTATAGTTTGAATGCTTGTGTCCCCCAAAACACGTGTTGAAACTTAATCATCAATGTGATGGCATTATGAGGTGGGGCCATGATAACAGAGCCCTGTGAATGGACGTAGTGGCTTTATAAAAGGGAACTAGCTCATCCCTTCCACTACGTAAGGACACTGAGCAGGTGCCATCTGTTAATCAGGAAAAGGGCCCTCACCAAACCCACATCTACTGGCATCTTATCTTGGACTTTCCAGGTCCATAAGTATGAGAAATAAATTTCGTTTATAAGCCATCTAGTTTATGGTATTTTATTACAGCAGGCCTATTGGACTAAGATATTCACCATCTAAAAATGTGATCAGTTTTTTTCAATCATAAAATGGAACAATAGACAGTTTCTACTCTTTTGTGACTGCTTTTGTTCGACATTGTGAAGTTTATCAATGTCGACATATAAAAGCAGTTCATTCTTTTTTTAGAAATGTTTAAGGATTTTTTTGTTTTTTATTTTGTTTTGTTTTAATTTGACTAGAAAGGGGCAGAGTGAGAGAGAGAGGGAAAGTGAGAAGGCAAGCTGCCAGGTCCAGGACTTGAACTATGGTCAACTATGTGGGAGTCCAGTGCCCTTAACAACCATGACACCACCTGCCAGCTCCATAAAAGTAGTTCTTTCTTTTTCAATGGTATAAAGTAGTCATTATTTGAGTATACCATAATTTATTTATTTGTCCATTCTATTGCACATGGACATGTGCTATGTCTTGTTTGGGACTACTATAAATAATACTGTGGTTATGATTATACATTAATGCTTTCGGGGCATATACTTATCCATTTCTATTGAGCACATGCCTAGGAATGGAAATGCCAGTTCATATGATATTCAGAACTGCAGCTTTAGTAATACTGCCAAATATTTTCCCAGTTTACATTGTATCAATTTTGTCTATCAGCAGTATACAAAAGTTCCTGGATCCTGGGACCAGCAGTTAGCGTGTAGTCGACCGCAGTTTGACTCCCAGACCCAGTGGTTTAAACTCACGCTGGGTGCATGTGCGTGTGTGCCCAAGATCCCGAGAGGAGAATGGAGGAGAAGGAATCGCAGTGTGGCCATCCCCCCTGGGGGGTGATTTCTCGCTTTCTGTCTCTCTGTCTGTCTCTGTCTGGTGAGCGCATGTACCCTATAGCAAAAAAAAAAAAAGCTCTTAGATCCTCACATCTTTGTGAACAATTGGTATTGTTACTCTTTAATATTTTAGCCATTCTGGTAGGTATTTATATCTCTCTTTATGCTAACTGCATTTCTATTTACTGTTTATTTACTAATTGGAAAGGGGAAAATGCATCTTATAATAGAATTTGCTGCCTCTACCTTTAACTCATCTATCAAATATGGTATCATGGTTAAAAACAAACATCACAAACTTCAATATGAGTATAATGAGGGGGTCGGCAGGTGATGTGGTGGTTAAGGGAACTTGACTCCCACATGGCCAACTGCAGTTGAGTTCTGGAGCTGGTGGCTTGCCTTCTTACTTTCTCTCTCTCTCCCTCCCTCCCTCCCTCTCCTTCTCCCTCTCTCTCTTTCACATTTTGTCCCTCTCTGATTAAATTAAAATAAATAAAGTTAAATAAAATAATTTATTTTTAAAAAGATAGGGAACAGCAGGTGGCATAATGGCTACATCGAGGAACTCCCATGTAGTTGACCGTGGTTCGAGCCCCAGAACCAGAGGCTTAAATTCACACTGGATGCATGTGCATGCATGCCCAAGATCCTGAGAGAAGAATGGAGAAGGAATTGTGGTGTGGCCATCCCCCTAGGTGGTAATTTCTCGCTTTCTGTCTCTCTCTGTGGTGAATGCAGAGGCTCTAAAAAAAAAAAAAAAAAAAAAAAAAAAGGTTGAATATAATGAAGCTAACACAATGAAGTATTATTATCTAAAATGTTTAATAGAGCTAACCAACCTTAAAGCTAACTTTCAAGTTTATAGAAAATATAGGAGAACAGAGAAAAAAAATAGACAAAAGCAAAAAGGAAACAGACAAATTCAGAAAAACAAATCCCATTTATCAAAAATGTCATTTTTATGGGGAAAAGGGGATGGGAGATCTAAGATTTAAAAGATTTAGGAAACATATCAAATGCAATTTATAATTCCTGATTGGATTTTGGTTCCCAAAGACTATCTAAAGAAAATTATTTTAGAATGAGAAAATTTTAATACAAACTGATTTTGAAATTAAGTTATGATATTAAGAAATTATTCTTCACTTCATTAAGCATGAAGAGATTGTGATTATATGTGGGAGAATTATAAAATATTTTGGAGAAATTATAGATAAAGCAAATAAAATAAAATGTTAATTATTAATCTAGCTAGTATATTGTTAATTCTATTTTTATTTCTACTTTTGATTTTTTTTAATAATGAAATATTTGGAGTTGGCAGGTGGTGGCACTGAACTCTCACATGGCTGACCATGCTTCAAATCCTGGTCAAATTTTTAAAAATAATAATAATAATAATAATAAAGTAGGATAGATCATTCTTTAAAATAAAAATAACATGTTTAAGAAAGGAATAAAAATGGATTTTAAACGCTTGATATTAAGAAAGATTCTAGGCATTAACACAATTTCTCAGAATACAATCCCACTAATCACTGCCATAGAGAAAAAAATATCTGAAGAATTAATACGCCGCTAACAGAAATGTCACAACTTTTACTATACATCATAAGGCTCTTAATGCAGTAATTCAAGTACATAATACTATTTATGCAACCAATACTAATACTTAGGGACCCTTGCACCCTTTGCCTGGAGTAGTACAGGAAAGGGAGTGGAAAGATGATTACACAATCCTAGGATTAACATTATTGCCCTGACTCTAAGGTTTAAAAAAAAATGTACTGGGAAACAGCAGAAGGCATAATGGCTATGTTGCCGGACTCCCATGTAGTCGACTACTGTTCAAGTTCTGGACCCAGTGGCTTAAACACACATGCGTGCGTGGCCCAAGATCCCAAGAAAAGAATGGAGGGAAGGGATTGCAGCATGGCCATCCCCTTTGGTGGGTGAGTTCTCACTTTCTGTCTCTCTGTCTCTCTCTTTCTGGTGAGCATACACGCCCTATAGCAAAAATCTCTCTCAAAAAAAAAAAAAAAGCACTGAATTTAATAGAGAAATTCATAGGAAAGCCTGTTCTACTATTTACAGAAAACCTCTTTACAGAGAGCAATATCTAATATATAACCTATTTTACCTCACACTATACCAAAAAAAATTTTTTTGGAGAGGATTTTGGTACGGGACACTTGCACTCGCCAGAAAGACAGAGACAGACAGAGAAACAGAAAGCAAGAAATCACACGCACACACACACACACACACACACACACACACACACACAAAACGGGATGGCCACGCCGCAATTCCTTCTCCTCCACTCTCCTCTCGAGATCTTGGGCACATGCACACGCACCCGGCATGAGTTTTAAGCCACCAGGTCCGGGACTTGAACCATGGTCGACTACATGGGAGTCCAGCGACATAGCCAAGCGACATAGCCATTATGCCAACTACTGGTTTCCCAAATTATTTTAATGTATTTTAACAATTTAAGACATCGAAACTAGGAAATCAGCATGAACTTTAATTCTTCTGTAAAACAAATTTCCAATAATAAATCTTTTAATTTCTTACTTAAGATTCTTTACTAGAAAAACAATTACTTCAGAAGGTTCTAGTCTTTCCAGTACAGCCATAAAGCAGGGCACATTGCCCCATATGATCACATATGTGATTACATATGTGCTATAGTTTCCCATTTGGTCTCGCAAAATTTCTTGCAAGTTAGAAAACTAAGTTTTATGACTATTTTCACACATGAAAAAACTGAGCCTTGGAGCAGTTAGTTCATGCATCTGTATACAGAACTAAAAAGGATGATAATCCAAGTTTTCCAACTCTTAACCCAATATTCCTAACATAGATTTAAGCAAAAGAATTTCAGTTTTCGTTTGGCAGTTCTTAAACGCAGTCTTAGCACATTTATACAGTATCCAGCTGTTAGGTTTTAAAGAGTTCTTAATTTAAAAAAAAATTTAATTTAAGGAAAAAAGGACATTAACAGAAATTTATAAAGTAAATATCAATGGCCAAGAAACCTTTAAAAAGGGTCAACCTCATTCACTAGTAATAAAAGACATGCAAATTAAAATAACTTCTTTGTCTATAGAAAAAGCATTTTTGTTTGTTTGTTCACTTTGAGATGGTAATACTCAGTACTGGCAAAGTTACATGAGAAATAAGGAATTCCAAGCCCTGCTGGCAAAAAAGTATAATCTTTCAAGAGGACAATTTGACAATGTATTTTAAAAACCTTAAAAATTTCCATTTTTCCTTTGACAATTTCACTTACAGAAATTTTGTCAGAGGAAAGAATCAATCATGTTCAAAACTGTTCAGGGCAGGAATTACATCACAAGAGCAAGGAATTAAATATAATCACAAGAGCAAGGAATTAAATATAATTTTAGGTGAAAATTAAGATATATAGCATGATCCTACTTTTTATATACACACACACACACATACATACACACACATATGTAAGAAAAAGAGACAAACTGACATTTAAAATATAAAAATGTTACTAGCAATTATTTCTGGATAGTGACAATTTATGTTTTTCTATAATAAAGACACATTGCTATATACTTACACACATTTACATTTATATATTTATATTGCTTTATATTGCTTCCATAATAAATATATACTGCATTTACTTTTTTTTAATAAGCAGAAATTGTACACCATACATAAAACAACTAACCTTTTCTGCCTTTTTGAAGACCACGTTAGCATGCTGAGGAATTTTCACTTCCAAAGAGTCCCTTTTTCGAAATGAAAATAAACGTTTTATATTGCTAATCTGGAGAATAACAGTCATCTAAAATAGAGCTGTAAATTCTGATACTAAAAACAGTTTATAAAAAGATTACAATTTAGTAATTTAGTGAGTCTGAGAAATTTTACACATAAACACAGACCTGATTTTATAATCTCTAGCTTAATCTACATCTTCATTTAACAAAGTTTACAGTTCTAAATTTTAACTCAAGCTTAAAGTTAATACATTAATTTTAGTTTAGGAACTGACCCTAACAACACTGTAATCTACTAGATATTTTAATTTATTAGTAAGTGATTAAAGTACCACCTTGAAATATAAAAAATAATTGAAATAAGAAATTAAAATATAAAAAGTATTACTGTTTTGCTAAATACAGTGAACAATCAATGTTTAAGATACCTTAACAAGAGTAGAACTCCTGCTTTTCCCAGAAGACGCCAAGCAACCCATTCTGCAGTTCTTCTATCGGCTTCATATGTAGCTTGCTGGCTAACAATAAAAACCAGTGGCAATCCTAGTTGGAGATGAACAGTTGAAACTTGTTGAGGATCTTCAGCAACTTCAGTCTTCATTTTTAAGAAAGAACAAAATGTCTTATGTGATAATATTTGAACATTTGCATTTAAACACTCATAATTCTTATTAATAAAGTTACAAGTAAAAAAAAGTCTGTGAAATAAACAACATTAACAAAAATGATTTAATATTTTCCTTTTTTTGAGAGAGAGAATTTTGCTATAGGGCGTGTGCGCTCACCAGAGAGACAGAGAAACAGAAAGTGAAAAGTCACCCCCCCAAGGGAATGGCCATGTCGTAATTTCTTCTCTTCCATTCTCCTCTCAGAATCTTGGGCATGCACACACACACACCTAGCATGAGTTTAAGCCACCGGGTCCAAGACTCAAACCATGGTCGACTACATGGGAGTCCAGCAACACAGCCATTACACCAACTACTGGTCCTGATTTCATAAATTTCCTAAGTCGAATGCTCTTGATGTACCCATATAAATTAAAAAGTGTTATAAACTAACTTATTTTATAAGGAGCTAAACATAAAATTATAACAATAAGAAATAGGCATACTATAAAGAAACAAATGAAATACAATAAATAAAACAGTATGGTACTGATAAGCACATATAAATATTTTAAAGGAAACAGAACGGATAACTAAGGAATAAACTCTTTCATGTAAGAATTATAATAAATGACACCTTTCAAAACAAAGGAACATTAAGTTAAAACAGCACATTAAACATACGTATCAAATTTCACTCTCTCCTGAAATTGCAAGAAAACTCCAGTAGTCGGCCATGTGGGAGTTCAGCACCCTTAACCACCATGCCACCTGCCAGCCCTGCAAACTCTCAGTTTTAACTATAGAATCCCAAACTTGCTTGGGAACTGTCTGATACATCTGGAAGAGACATATTGGATGGAAAGTGGCAGGAAGGCTCTAAAATAAGGAACAAGTCAAAGCTTTTGAGAAATATAGTTAGATCCCTAGATTGCCCTCCCCAGCTCCATGAGCTTAGGCAACTGTCCCTCTCCCACGCCAGCGAAGATCTAGAAGACTTCTTTAACAGCTGGGAATATGGATACCATACCAAAATCAGAGGCATTGAGGAACTGAATACTGAGATGCCCCTCTCCCTACTGAGTTCTCAGAACGCTAGCAGTCTCAAGCAGAAACTTATAAGATATTTTTCAGGGGATCTTTAATAACTCCCAAAAGCCTAAAGATACTGACATTGGGGTTCACCAAAAAGCAGCCCAGGCCCAATCACCCTTTAAGGCTCTGAGTCAATAAATATTCCCAACATTCTCATAATTTTCCAATTAGCATTTTAGTTTCAAACTCTAAATTGTGAACAGATATCCAACAATTAACATCTGAGGAAAGCCTATAAAATGAAAGAGACAAGAGCAAACTGAAAAAATAACATGGGGGAAACAGACTATATATGCAGGAAGAAGAAATGTTTAGACACCACTGCTGATAACCTCGAGGAGATGGTAAGACATTTCATCCATAAAAAATTAAAGTTGAATAAATCTCCCAGGAAGTAGAAAAAATACGGGCGGAAGATAGAAGAGGATAGGTAACAGAAATGAAGTAGTAGTTCAAGAGATCCAAAATCTAAACAATGGGAGTCACAGAAAGAAAGAAGGGAGAAAATAGAAATTGACAAATCATCACTGAAATAAACACAAGATTGTCCTCAACTGAAGGACACAAGCTACCAGTTGAAATAGCCCACCGCGTAATCAATACAGGTGATAAGAGTAGATACATGAGATGTCTTCTTACAAGGTTCTGAATCATTAAGGAAAGGTATTGCCTATAAAATATTTGACTTTCCTTTGTTTTTTAACCTCAAATATATCCTTCAAGAACAAAAAACAACCTCAAAGACTGATATGGTCAAATGTTTAAAGTACAAAGATGTAAAAGTGACCAAATCAGTTCAGAACTCTTTAAGGTCTTCCTAATTCTACAAGGGTAAGCTCTTAGACCTTAGTCACTCTTACCCCACAACCCCACAGAGTCTCAAGAAATCTTTCGAGGGAACCAGCAGTTAGCATAATGGCTATGTCGCTGGACTCCCACGTAGTCGACCGCGGTTCACGTCCTGGACCCGGTGGCTTAAAAAACTCACGCCGGGCGCGTGTGCGTGCGTGCCCAAGATCCCGAGAGGAGAATGGAGGAGAAGGGATTGCGGCGTGACCATCCCCCCTGGGGGGTGATTTCTCGCTTTCTGTCTCTATGTCTCTCTCTGTCTGTCTGGCGAGCGCACGCGCCCTACAGTGAAAATCTCTCCAAAAAAAAAAAGAAATCTTTCGAGTCTCTGTCTCCTTTTCTGCACTGAGCATTCATTTGCTCTGTTCTGGTCTGTGAAACTCCACTTTATCAGTGCTTCCTGGCCTCTCTTTGCTGACACCACGGTCTGGGTTCTCAGTTAATCTCTCCAAACTAGCCTAAATCCTACATCCCAGGTTCCCTGGTTCCCTAAGAAAAAGGAGTTTGAACAAAGAAGGTGCTTAGATGCATCATTTGTGAGAGAGCTGAAACAAACCTCATTTTGGATTTCCATTGACAACTGAATGTACGTTAGGGTAAGCAGTGACTAGAGCAAGGACACCTGCATTGCACAGTGCCAGTGAGCACCGTTCATGTCCTAGTGCATGACATGGATGTTTCAGGAGCTGTTATTCACACAGAATGCAACATAAATGGTGCCCTTGATTTATTGCCATGTCCTGCCTTAATGTAAAGCCACACTTAATTGAATTCCAAGCCATTATGTAGTCTCCACTTTTAGTTTCTTAATTTAAAACTAATATTACATAATTTCTGAGAAGCATTATAAAGTGAAATATGGTCAGAGAATCTCTCTCATCATTTTCTATTTTAAAAAAGAAAATAATTTTAAAACATACAAAAGAAAATTTATGAGCAGAAACTTTAGGGAAGGGGTACAAATTCAAGCCAGAATGCCACACCAAAAGAAAAAAAATAGAAGATTTTTAGTAAAGCTTGTTATGAGTCTTAATCCTGCCTCCAATACCAAAAGAAGTATCCTGAGACTTCTTAATAATACCCTAGTATTTGAAAAGAAGGAAACAAGGCTAGAGGGAAATGAGAAAGAAGTATACAGTGAGCGGCCCTCTTTCCTCCCCTCCTTTCCTCCCCCCTTCTTTCTTATGCCCTTTCTTTCTCTGCTCTATGAGAAAATGGGAGATCAAAACAAATTCACAGTGGGCCAGCTCCACAGCCTAGCGTTAAAAGGAAGCTGGATTGCAGGTGACTGCCATTCTCCAACTCTGGCAACCTTGAAAAACACTTGCATGAATGTCTAAGATCCCCAAAGGATAGAGAAATAGTGGAGAAGGGATTGTTGCGAGACCACACTACATTGTGGGTAACTTTCTCCCTCTCTCTTTCCCTATCTCTCTCTCTCTCTCTCTCTCTCTCTCTCTCTCTCTGGCAAGCTCACATGTGCTCTGGCATTTTTTTTTTTTAAATCAAATCTATAGGGTATTGTTTAAATGGAAGTAAGATACATGCTTTCTCCCAGTTGAAAAGAAAAAGACTGATAAAGTACTTTCTTTTTAAAAAATGTTTTGGAGCCAATATTCAACCAAAGAACAAATTACTTAAAATAAAGAGGGCCAGCTCTGTGGCACAGCGGTAATGTGCCACTCAAGAGAAGCTGGATCCCACATGGTAACAGTGGTTTGAATCCCCAGTCTAGTCAGCCTGAAACACACTAGGCATGCACGGGAGTGCCCACAATCAGACAGGCCAGAGGACTGGAGGACGAGGACCATGGTGTGCCCAGACCCTGTGGAGGTTGTGGACAATGCTCCTCTCTCTCTTTCTGTGTCACTCTCACATGCATGCATGTGTACTCTTTCATGAATAAAGATTTCTCACTTCTTCTCTGTAACTAAAACATGTTTCTACATTAAAACTTAGCAAATGTTATATACAAATTATCTACTATATTAAAAAAAAAAAAGACACATACCAACAAAGGTGCCTTCATTGTCTTAATAAACAGGTGAATGTTCAGTGTCGTCAGTGGCTTTCCCATTAGCGTTCTTCTACATTGCTGGGTCAAATCCAATACAAGTTTACAATGGAAAAAGTAAAGATGTGCATATTCTATATCCTCAGAGCTGCAAATTAAAAATTGGGATCAGATTAATTTAATTAAGTTCAATGAGTGATCTTTCAGCTACCCAAAAAGACATAAAGTATTTTTTAAATTATTTTTTTGAATTATTGTTTTAGTAAAGGTTTAAAAGAATAGAACATTGAAGTAAAATAGGCAAAAAAGAGGATACAGGTATTAAAGAAAATTAACCTTAATATTTGAACAAACCATGAGTTGTATAAGCGAATTGTTTTTCCTGAATTCTTTTATATGGTAGCTCCTAAACTGGGTTCTAGGCGGGACTATGTATTTTTTTATTAAAAGGCTGTCACCTTGTGCACAATGAGATTACCTCCGAATATAGTTGTTTTTCTAGAGCTATGCTAAATTAAGCCTTTGTAACACAAATTATCTAGGTTTAATTTAAACCCAAAGCTGTTTTGAATAAACTTCAACCAAAATATGCCTTAAGATAGAAACCATGTGACAGTCTGTGGGAGTTTGTGAGTTTGCATCTGAAATATTTCAAAACTCAGCAAGTATGGCTTATAATTTGAGTTTTGGCATTCCCTTTAATATGAAAATTCAAAGATAATCTCATACTGGGAGTAAGCATGGCCAAAATTAAAACAGCGTTTTTAAAATCTCCATATGGCATTAGTAGGGTTTGGCAAAGTGTTTCAAAATTTATTTTTAAAATGTTATTTTATTCTTGAGACATGCTTAAACTGAGTGTCCAAGGTTGACTGATTTAAAATTTAATAACAAAGTAACTTCTAATAGAGCCAATGATTAAAGACAGAATCACTCAAAAATGTATTTAATACCTACGGGATTAGCTCCAGTGTTAAACATATAAGATAAAGATGAGTAAGACTAATGTAAATCAGAAATCATAATTTTAAGAAGATAAGACTATTCAAATAAAGGTGATGCATTTATTAAAATGTAATGTAGAAGTGTTATATAAAATGCAATGAAGAAATAAAGAAGAAAGAAATATTTCACTCTGCCTCAATTTGGGGAAGAAAAGGAGGGAAGGGAAGGGGCAGTCATCACAAATCAAAAAAACAGAAAGGGAAAGAATGACTTCTCCAAGAAGATAGGACAAATGAGCATCTGAAACAGCAGGA